CAATGGTTCGAGAAGTCAGTCTCCTTTCTCTCACACTCCCAGCCCCTTCTCTGGAGCCTGGGTGCAAGACGAGAGTGAATCTCTCGCCTCCTGCTCTCCCGTGAGATCTCTGCACCCCCTGGTTGAGCACGCCCACTCCCCGCTGCCCCACCATGGGTACGTCAACTAATGTGTAAATGAAGCCACTTGTGAGGGCTCTGCCCACCTAGTTAACACGTGCCAGCCCATCACAATGCCTGCCCATCTCTTGCGAAAGGATATTGCTGTCCTCCTGGCGAAGGAATTGAACCAGTCCCTCCAGCCGAGATGGCGAGCGAGTTTTAAAGCCCGTACTTCATCTTACTCAAAATGAGCGGTGGGCTATGGCCAATCCTAGATCTGTTTGTTTTAAACCGCTGTCTTCACAAGCTGCGGCTAGAATGCTTTCACAGAAGCGCATACTCCAGTGCGTTCGTCCTCGGGATTGGTCTGCAGCAGTTGACCTGAAGAATGCATATTTTCATATTCTCCATACTTCCATGCCACCGTCAGTTTCTGCAGTTTGCGTTTGAAGTCGAGCCTGGCAGTACACGTCCTTCCCTTCGGGCTCTCTCTGTCTCCGCAGGTTTAACTGCCTGGAGCTGTTGGCAGTGTATATCAGGCTGCGCCATTTTTTACCGGTGCTAGAGATGAAACACGTCAGTACAGACAGCATGGGGACGATGGTGTATATAAACCGCAAGGTGGATATCCGCTGTTCCCGAATGTCTCAGCTTGCTCACCGTCTGCTACCACAGAGTCATACACGGCGAAATCACTGCATTCTGCCGAGCTTAACTGTGCAGCCGATGCACTCTAATGGCAGTTTGCCTGGGAAAATGGAGACTCCACCCCCGACTGTCCAGATGTTATGGGTGCTTTCTGTGCATTGACTACACAGCTGGTCCCAGGACCTGTGTAATACACATTTCTTCAGTGAGCCTACTCGCACAGATACTGTGTAAAGTCAGGGAGGAGGAGGAACAGGTCTATGTATTGCGCCCCTGTGTCTCAATCGGACCTGTATTTCATCTCTTTCCTTGTGATGGCCCCTCCCTGGCATGTCCCCTGGAAGAAGCTTCTTCTCCGCGACAGGCACCATTTGGCACTCGGGTCCAGATCTATGGAACCTCATGTGTGGTCCATAGATGGATCGTGGAGGACTTCGTTGACCTACCGTTTAGGTGGTTAACGCCGTCACTCAGGCTAGAGCACCTTCCATGAGGCATGCCTACACCCTGAAGTGGAATCTATTTGCTGTGTTGTATATGTCTTTCCGAGAAGGAATCCCTGAACATGCCAGATCAGTATGATACTATCCTCCTTCAGTTGGCTAAAACTAGGGTGTCCCCTCCGCACTGAGGGGTTGGCGTGTGATCATCTCTGCTTTGAGGACGCGGCGATGGTGGCGCGCTGAAAAATTATAGCCTTATCATCCAGCTCTCAGAGGAATGAGATGTGGAAATTAACTCTATGCTGTTCCCCTACTCATTTGAAGATCTCTCTTAGTAGAGATCTGCTTGATTACTCAACTCAGTATCTTTATGATTTCTGTCCAGGTAGACAGCTCTGCTGGTCACGTTGGCATCGGTCAAATGGGTGGGTATATAGAGGCATTTTCGGTCAGCAAAATGTGCCAGCGTTTTGGGTCGACCCACTCTCACGTTTTTCTGAGACCCCAGCCCACCTAGGTGCCCTAGGTTCCTATAGTGCTCATTTAAAATATGTAGTGAACCTGCAAGCACTGCCCATGGAGGAGGCAGACACTGCCCTTTTATTGTCATGTCCTGTTCGTGCTTTGCATATTATACGGACCTGACTCAGAGCTTTAGATCCTCTGAGCAGCTCCTTATCTGTTACGGTGATCAGCAGAAGGTAAGCGTCGTATCTAAACAGAGGTTGGAACAGCCCACTGAACAGTCAATGCCATCTCCCTCACTTTTCATAGCCAGGGTGAGCCGTGTCCCCCAAAAGTGAGAGCGCACTTTATTTGGAGTGCGCATCCTCTTGGGCATGTGCACGCGGCACCTCTCTAACAGATATAGTTTAGCTGCGGGTTGGGTGACACCTAATACATTTTTGAGACTTTTTAATCTTTGAGTAAGTTGATTTCCTCACGTGTGCTGGGAAAACCTGGTGAACGAGGAAATTCAGTTTGGTATTGTAAAACGCTTGCTGTGCCTTTCGCTCTAACACAGAGATACCTGCTCTTTCTCGCTTTGTCAGTTGAGTTCCTCACTTGGCGAACCCTGTAGAGTTCCTCCGAGGCCCCCAGCATTTGACTCAGTGGAGGAATCAGGTGTTGGCCTGTTACGTTGTTGGCATACCCGCTGGTCAGCCCGTGTTTTGGGTTTAGGTGCCTGCTATGTGCGATCCTTGCTGGCGATCCCATTAGCTCACTCAGCCACGATGAAGTCCCCTCTCTTAGGCGGGCTTGTGTCTTCCCTCCCTGCTAACCATCTTTCATATGAGTCCTCCCCCTTTCAGGGCTAGTCCATATGCTTTTTGTCACCAGGTCTCCCCATTTGGGCAGCAGGTGGCCTCCGCAGCATTCTCCCTATTGGGACCAAATGCTTTCCTAACGTACTGTCGTATCTATAATTCCTAGAAATAAACTAGGTGTATTTTTACGACTCCCCAAAAAATAAATCTAAACCGGAACAGGTAAATAAGAGCCAGGGGACACGTTGGAAGACTGCACCTCTGGTGACGCAGGTGCGCTCGTGCTGCTATGTGGCACGCCCCTCCCCAGAGACGTGGTAAGGTTCTTTCGTTGTGACGTTTCCACAGATTTCCCCATAGTGGAAATTTTCCACATAGCATTGAAGTTCCCCTTCCGAAGGGGAACGCAACAGTTACCAAAGTAATCGTCATTCCCAGAGGAAATGGAAATACTATGTTTCTTTGCCGCAACGATTGTCCCTTAGCTGGCAGCCGTAAAAGGCTCTGCCAGCTAGAAAAAGATGTCTAGCGTGGCACGAGCTGCGTCTTTATAAACAGTCTAATATCTAGTCTGGCATTTCATTGACCTGTTTTTATAGTCTTTCAGATGATTGAATTCTGACAAAATCCCCATAGTGGAAGTTTACCACATAGCATTTCCGTTTCCCGCCATCAGGGAAGAGGGTTACTTTAGTAACCGCTGCATTTTCAGCATCTGTCTTCTCACAACATATCAACCTGTCTAAATAACAAGTTATGTTGACAACACAACAAAATAACAAAATGTAATATTTTTATAGAATAAACTTGAGCTTGAAGCATTTTGCGAGACAAATATAGACCTATTACTACTGGTTATTACGACTTCTTAAAATAATATTCAGACGATGTTTCTTTTTTGTTTGATTGTTTGTTTTAACTGCAATAAAACCGAATGAGAACGAAATTAGAAAGAACTTCACAGAGCTGGAAAAATATACGGTTTAAAAGTAATTATTTTAAAATGTCAAATTATTATTATTTCTATTTATCAAACTTATTTTGCGATTACAAAAATGTTATTTTACAATTAAAATGAATTACAAAAAAATTAATCCAACTAAATTAACACTTAAAAATGAACTAAAAAATGAATGAATAAGAGAATTAAATAATTAATTAATGATTCAATCAGTTAGTTGATCAGACAAACAAGCAAATAAAATTTGGAGAGCAAAAAATTATAAAGCCTTGTATTTGGGAAGACAGATGCCACACATGTGAAAAGGTGCGAACTAACAGAACCAAAACAGACAGATACTAAGAGATGAGAGTGCACAGATAAGTTTTTTGTGTGAATTTATGTGTGATTTTATTTATTTATTTATGGATTGATTGCTTATCAAACCTTTATTAAATTGCTAAATTAAAATTCATTCATTCATTTATTCATTTTTCTTTAGCTTACTTCCTTTATTCATCAAGAGGTCGGCACATTGGAATGAACTGCCAACTTATCCAGCATATATTTTACTCAAATATGCCCTTTCAGCTGCAACCCAGAACTGGGAAACACAGATACACACTCACATTCACATACATACACTACAGCCAATTTAATTTACTTAGTTGCCCTATAGAGGTTGTCGTTAGACTGTGGGGGAAACCGGAGCGCCCGGAGAAAACCCACGTGAACAAAGGGAGAACATGCAAATTCCACACAGAAATGCCAACTGCCCCAGCCAGGACTTGAACCAGTGACGTTCTTGACAGTGCAAACCACTGAGCCACTGTGTCATTCAAATTAAAATAGTTCTTTGCAGAAAACATAATGCATTTATTTTGAGATATACTACATTTTAATCATTTTTTTAAATTTGTTTTAAAAAGAAAATCCAATTCATTGAGAACAAATCCTCTGTACGCATAAACACTTTCCTCTGCTTCTTCTAATTAGGTGGTAATTCTATTAATTAAGGATATTTGTGGCTTTTTAATGAAATTAAATGAACAAAAATGTTTCACAGTTCTGCTATGTTCACATTTATTTACTGCCTAATCAGCATCATTATTAAAACGATAATTTATGAATCACAGACAACTAAGCAAGTGACCCTGCCCATTTCTGAAGGCAGAACCTTAGTTATGCTTCATGTCAACTCAAAGTGAAACTATTCTACCACCACTGGTCTCTCGAGATTGGCCAATATTACACTTCTAAAATTTCGCACACAGATCCACTTTTACACTACAAAGCTTAATAATGGGTGATGAGGTTTCAAAATACAAAGATGTGAGAGAAAAAAAAGAACCTGTTAACTGAGAGGAAAAGCAGATGAATGCACTGTAAATGGGTGTGAATGCTAATGTGAATAATATAGGGCGGGATCGAGGGAGTTGATGTAGTGTATAGGTGAATGTGTGAGTGTGTGTCTGTTTTTTTCTCTCTCTCTCTGTGTGTGTGTGTGTGAGAGAGAGATGTAGTGTAAAGGGGCAGGCTGGAAGTTGAAGGGTTGGTCCTGGTTCATCATGTATAAGAGCAGAGCACTGGACTTCATGTGAGCACACGTCTCTGAGGAACATACAGCTTGTTTCATCCAGACAAAGGAAAACATCTGGACAAGTCTGAAAGATGGGTTGGCAGAAAAGCGTTCTGGATAAGCTTGCGCAGACTTTCCAAATCCGCAACAAGTTACTGCGCCAGGGATTGGCTGAATGCTTAGGAACTCTCATCCTGGTGGTGGGTATTTCTCCTTAATGGTGAATTACTGACGGTCAAAGCTGAGCTCAGTAGAATTTGTCTTTATTTGTCATTTAGTCTAAAACTCTATATTCTTTTGAATACTCAAATAATCTTTAAAAAAGCACTGGAAGTAAGATTCACTGTATCTTTTTGTATGAGTGGATGAGTGGTACTGTATAGTATCACTTGTGGAGTAATTGCTTATCTTCTGAAAGTCTAAAATTTGGGCTGAAATGTTTACTTTGGTATGTGCAATTTGTCATGACTAAATAATACAAACTGTTAATTAAATTTTTACTACTGTGCAAACACTAGAGTAACAACATAGATCTAAAATGAGTGTGAGTATTATTACTGCAAAATAATAATAATAATAATAATAATAATAAAACAATTTTGTTTAGAATTTTATTATAGACAAGCTGTAAGACTCAAAACCTGTATGATTTTCTTCTGGAAAGACATTTTTTAAATATATCGTGGACATTTTTTAAATAGTGCGAGGGGTTGCTAGACAAAGACATTTAAAAAACAATTTAAATTATATGAACAATTGAAAGGGTACTGTAGTCAAATAGGAATTTAAAATATGGACTGAGGAACTATGCTAAAAGGAAGTATTTTGCAAATAAAGAAGGGTAGTCCTGTTTGTGTGTGTAAGAGAGCGAGAGAGAAAAAGCATGACAAACATAAAATGTACTTGAACATCCCCTTTAGCTTGATGGCAATTTTTTTTTGCAACATAGAATGCAGATAAGCATGTCATTATTCAGCAGAAAAGAAGCACATGTCAAAGCTTTCGCTGAGTAGCACTTAATTCATCATAACTATTATAATGTAGCAATTAAAACGTGAGCATTAAGCCAATAATTTGAGCTTTATTGAATCATCAAGTCATCAAGCCACACCCCTGTGAACTTCAGCATTTTAGATCTGCCAACTATGCACGTTTTACTAGCATATGCTACCCAGCAGGTACTTTGATGTCATAAATACAAATCAATTTGATGCCAAAACCCTCTTAAATCCAGCTAACAACACAAAAAGTGTTATTAGAAAAGTTTTCTTCATCTGAAAGCTCCACGTACAAAAGACAAAGTTACACTGGAATTTGTATTCCTATAATGCATCACAAAAACAAAACAACATCAAATTGACATCTAACATTTTTGACGCCAATATTAGATGTCTATTTAATGTCATTTTATCATGCATTGCTGTGATACAATATCCAGAGCATTCCAGCAGACCCATAACTCACCGTTAGTTCTGAACATTGTGATATGGAAATCTTTTAAATAATGTCTAATAAGCGCATGTTTAATAGGTCAGGGTGTGTGCATGACAGCCACAGGCGGGCTGTAAAATATGACTCTCATAAAAAACTTATTGACATCAACCTGTGGTAACAAAAAGCTCACAGGGTTATTATGCCATTTTTACAAGCACTTTAGAAAAAACAGCTCATTTTTACAATACACACTCATTGTTTGCTTTTGAGGTGTGTGGGAGGGTCAAATAAAAGATAATACTTAAATGGAGAGGTCATACGATTCTGCATCGCTCAACACATGTGATGTTTGCTGAGTGGCAAAAGGTATTTGATATACAAGTTACTCTGAACGCAGTCTTTGTCTGTGAAGGTCAGAGTTTTGATATTATAAGCGGACATTCTTCTCAGAGCAGAAACAGGAACAATCGATCTCAGTGGTGTTGAAAAAAAGCACACAGGGACATGGAAATGCATTAGCATTCACACGAATTGCCATTCTAAAGTGATAAATTGGTTCGGTGAGATGTTGTTTTTAGGTTTGTGTTGACATTGTGTCTGAGATTTATTAATTTGACAGCTCTGTCAATTATACGACTTTGGTAAAGCTGTATCGTGAGCCTTGTAATTTGCCAAAATGCCGCAGGTATTTCAGTTCACACTGACGTGATCTCCAAAATAAAATCTTCAGCCACAAGTCTGAACAGTGACTTGTAATCGCTCTTTGTCAGAAGGGACTTGTAATGACCTGTCTGAGAAGTTCAGTGCGGAAGGCACGCAGGCCAAAGTCCCTGGAGATTTGTAGCATTTGAAAAAAAGTGGGAAATTTTGTTTATTTTTAGCTCAGTTTGAATCTGCAACCTGCTATTTTCATTCAAGTATATGTTGCGGCTCACAGCTGAATTGCTGTGAAAGGTCTGCTCTTAGTCTGTAAAATGACCATTCATAGTTGTGAATTCCTGTAACAATGTGTGCATACTCAAACATTGAATAATGCTTGTTCTTATTTCACAGATGTTTGGCTGTGGTTCATTGGCCCAGTTGAAACTAAGCGAAGGTTCTCATGGTCTCTTTCTCACTGCAAACCTTGCTTTTGGGTTTGGTGCTACTCTTGGAATCTTGGTTTGCGGCCAGGTGTCAGGTAGGCAAACTCCTCTAAAATTGCATCTTAAGCTGTTGTTGTGCATGGCCATAAAAACAGGAGTGAGTTTTATAAAAGATTCTTTGTGGATGAACCCATGGGATGAAGGGACTTGTTTTTCTCATCTTTAGGCGGACATTTAAATCCTGCTGTTACATTTGCTCTCTGCCTCTTGGGAAGAGAAAAATGGAGAAAGTTTCCTGTGTACTTTCTGTTCCAAACACTCGGATCCTTCTTGGGTGCTGCTATTATCTTTGCCGAATACCATGGTAAATGTTTTGTAGACTTATTGCTCTTTCTTGTCATTGTCAGTAGATTTATTGTAGTAATTACAGTTATTGCAGTTAAGTATAAAGCTTCTACTTTATGATTTATTTCTTTTGTATTTTAGACGCAATTTATGATTATGCTGGAGAATCAAATGAGTTGCTTGTACTGGGTGAAAAAGAAACAGCTGGGATTTTTGCTACATACCCAAGCAAATATCTCACCCCCCTAAATGGATTTTTTGACCAGGTCAGTAAATCCAAGCACAGTTAAGGAATATATCTGCTCAGAAACAAACACATTCTGTACAAATAAGAACTGACATCTGATGGTCTGATTTTTTTTTTTTTTTTTGGGAATTTGTAAATCCATTAATAATATTATTTTCATTGGTAAACATTTAAAGTGAACAGTTTTTATTTATTTACAATGCAAAACTATAACATAACTGGGACATGGGGATGGTTAAATCAAAATGAAATTGGCGAACAGTTATACTTCATTGACTCAAAACTTTTGCTTTCAACACAAACATTTTTTTTTCATGGACTTGGAAATAGTTTGTGAGAAAATTTTCACTCGGGTGCATAAAATTCCTTTTACGCAAATGCAAAAACATTGAGTTTTTCATTCCATACAATATTATTTTCAATAGGCCTCCATAGTTTGGAATATGTTTTATATTTACTATCATGTTTATGCAAATACAATAAGCATAAAACCATCTTGACAGGTGATAGGCACAGCATCCCTGATTGTGTGCATCCTGGCCATTGTGGACCCCTACAACAACCCGATCCCTCAAGGTCTTGAGGCCTTCACAGTGGGATTCAGCGTCCTTATCATTGGTCTCTCCATGGGCTTCAATTCTGGCTATGCAGTAAACCCAGCTCGAGATTTTGGACCTCGTCTTTTTACTGCCATGGCTGGTTGGGGTAGTGAAGTCTTCACGTAAGTGGATATCTTTAATCAACCGATTAGCAGCATAATGGGCTCTATGTACAGCTAGAGTTTTAAAGCCAACGATAAACGTCCGATGATAGCTTAATGCGACTATTTTCAATTTCACAAGGTTCCTTTTACAGCATTGATGTTGTAATGTAGTTACAATACATTCAGTTGAATAGACTTAAGCATTCATTTAGTTGTTCAAGCGTAAAACTAGATGAAAGAACGTTGTAACCACTAGCGCCGTCAGTAGCAACAGGCTAGCGACAAATTCCATTGAAAATACTAGGGTAAATTAAACTGTCATATTTTAAAGACTTGGGGGAGGAAATGTAATTTAATGCTTCTTGTCTGATCTGAGACCCACTTCATATTGTTATCTAACAGGCAGTGAGCATCACCGTTTTTTAAATAAATCAGATCTTTCCAGATTTTTTAATGGACAGAGAGTTCACCGGAAGCCCTTGGGCTGCCTGGCTGAAAATTTAAAGTCTGTGTGCTTATAGCCCATTAAATTTATTTCTGGAAAATAACCTAATAAATGCTTTTCTTTTGGTTTGCAACAGAGCCAGGGATTATTGGTTTTTGGTGCCCATCTTTGCTCCGTTCATTGGAGCCGTTATTGGTGTGATTGTGTACCAGCTGATGGTGGGATGGCATGTGGAAGGAGAGGCACGAGATAAGAAAGCTAAAGCTAGAGAGGAGGTGATGAACCTCAATGACGTCGCCAGCAAGGAATGATTTTCAGGATCTCCATCAGCCCTCAACACCACAAATCCACATAAGCTTCTGCTTAAGGATCTCTGGGTTCAATAAAAACCACTTGCACCACACAAAACTCCCTCATCTGTTTCAGAGGTGATTCTCACAGTTTTGCAGATCTTCCACTGGACTTTGAATAAAAAGCGTTATACATTTCTATACTTTACAAATTCTGGGTTGTTTTAACCAAATTTGGGTACAATTTTGACTAACCCAATGGTTGGCTTAAAAATTTTATTTAAAAATTTAACCAACTGCTGGGTTATTGCTTTCCAACCCAGCATTATTTTAGATTTCCAACTTTATATCAGACATTTGATTGTTTTTCAAGCATGACTCTTATTTCTTTCTTCCACATGCTTTATTCTTCCATTAAGGGAACAAGGTGTTACTTCAACAGGACGAATTATATTAATTCACTCTTTTGAAAAGTTAGTAAAAGTTTAGATCTTTGAAATGAAACTGTTGTTGTTACACCTATCAATATATACAGTATTTCATGCTTTTGTGCTACTAATATCTAAATATGTTGCCATTCACGCTGAGAAAGTTGAGAAGTTACCCAAAAAAGCTACAGTACTTTTTAAAAAAATTGTAAATATTTTGTATTGTCATTTTCATTTAAAGCATTTTTTTTTGTTGTATTACATGTATGGATTACAACTTAACATGTACACTTACGTCTGATAGTGGAGAGATCCTGACATTTATTTGACATTGCAGTTTTTAGACTGTTAGATCTGTTCATTTCATAACATGTTAATTTTGAAAGTGAATGTTTTAAATCAACTGATTGTTATCCTAATAAATTTTTTTAAAGAAGTCTCACATGTCACGCCTTGTCATTTTCTGCCTAAATCAAACTGTGCTGCATGTTTGTTTTCATTAAGGACATTGTGTACTTCTCTGGGTGGTTGGTGTTAATCCGTTTGTAGTGGTTTTGTAATTCGGCATATACCAGAGCTACTCCTTACCAACAAGAGCACAAGATGAATGAAACAAGTCTAATTAGAGGCTTATGAAACAAAAGGTGTGGACAACTGGAGGCTTCAATAAAAGTATGAGAGAGTGAAAAATTTTACAGGCTCTCTTCTTTAATCATTTAAAAGCTTTTGGGGAAACATCTGGGTGTGTGCATGATAAAATATAATACATTCCATCCTTAAGAAAAGGGATTAATACAATCACTTCACCCAAGCTGCATCATGTTAGCTTTTTCTCAGAACCCAATTATTATATTATCCCAGATTTATTGCCCAGAATCCCACAAAAACAAATTGTTGCTAACAACAAAGTGTTTCTAACAAAGCAGTAACTCATTTTTTGTTACATTTCTAAAGCCGATTACAAAAACAAAGGAGGATCAGCCTCCTTTCAACATAAATCAGTGCATTTAATTCAAGTCTCTATCTATCTATCTATCTATCTATCTATCTATCTATCTATCTATCTATCTATCTATCTGTCTGTCTGTCTGTCTGTCTGTCTGTCTGTCTGTCTGTCTGTCTGTCTGTCTGTCTGTCTGTCTGTCTGTCTGTCTGTCCGTCCGTCCGTCCGTCCGTCCGTCCGTCCGTCCGTCCGTCCGTCCGTCCGTCCGTCCGTCCGTCCGTCCGTCCGTCCGTCCGTCCGTCCGTCCGTCCGTCCGTCTTTCTGTCTGTCTGTCTGTCTGTCTGTCTGTCTGTCTGTCTGTCTGTCTGTCTGTCTGTCTATCTATCTATCTAGTCTGTCTGTCTAAATTAGAATTACAATTTAAAACATTTTATGTCTAATTTTCAGCGTCATAACTTTCAAGATCAGTGAAACCATTCTCCAACATGTTGATTTGATGGCATTAAACATTTCTTATTATCAGTGAGGAAACTGCTGTGAATGTTCTCAGGTAGCTTATATTACCTTTAAAGCCTTCTCTAGTGGGAAAACATGAATCCCTTGGCCACCACATCCTGCTTCTCCTTGCGGTACATTAGCAGAAGCCTCTTCTCTGTGCCCGAAGCACTTTCACTACCCTAGTTTTTCAGCAAAAAAGACCACTTTCACATGAAAGCATGTCCTAATTCACAATCATTGTGGGAAACAAGTTGAACAGGTACTATGAATAAACCTGTTTAGCCTCCATGCAGCTTATCTTAGTCAAATGGTATCCAGCACTGGCTTCGGGTCCATACAGCTGCACGGAGGTCTCCCACCACGTGTTTCATTTTAGCTCTGGCGCCGTCAGATGTACATTTAGGTAATGCATGCCAACTTAAATGAGGTGTGAAATCTGTACTTATTTAAGTGATCTTGCACTGTTTGGATCATTTTCTGGACATTTTAATGATAACACATGGTATTGTCATTGGGTGTGGAGTTCTTACGTAAACAGGAATCTATCTTAGTAATTATGTGTCCTTGTTCATGTTTCCTGTGTGCAATTAGAGCAACATAGACATGCATGTACAAAAAAATGCAATAAAAATGCAAATAGATGCAACATGTTACTCAAAATCATTTGGTGATTAAGAAAGGTTGTTGGTTAATCCATATAGTTTTGTGGAAGCCTTGTTATGATCTTCTTAGGGCTTCTGTTTTGCAACAAAAGTGACTTTCAGATTTTCTCTTACTAAAAAGAAGTGTGTAATCAATGTTTTTAATTACTTCTCTGAAATGTACTATTCAGAAATAAATTTAAAACTACACTTGGACAGAAAAGACAGAAAATCTAAACTAGTCTATTGACATGTACTTAAAAGAATAATTATGTATTCTAAACATGGCTGTAGCTGTTTTTATTCTTGTTTAAGTGACCTAATTATTTTTTGGGTCAAACTTTATTTAAGGCACAAATATTAGTATTAACAAACTAGGAGTTTTGCCCCAATAAACTCTTATTTTGGTGCTTATTTATTAAGGTAACAGCTTAGTTAGAAAAGAGTGCATAGCACACTCTAAAAAGTGATTAGTTGACTTCACTTTGAATGAGTGAGTAAACTTATTGCTTTAATTATTAAGCAAATGAACTATGTGTGTAATTATAAAGATTAAATTAAGTGGAGTTAAAGTTCTAAGTTAAAATGAAAATACTTACTTTTTTAAGTAAAATCAACTTGTCATTTGTAAGGCAGTGGGTTTATTCCATTTTTTAAGTAACAGCTTTTTACTGTGCATTTACTGTAAAAAATGCAGAGTTCCAAACAATTCATTCATGTTTTCCCAACACAAATTAAGTTAACTTAACACTTTTAACAAATTTATGTGGATTTAACAAAAAAAATGTATTGTCCCAGTGAAACTTGAGAATTGTGTTGTTTCAGTTCATTTAAATTAAATAGTTTGAACAAGTTTATACTTGAGTGTAAGATGATGCAGCATATTTTATACTTATAAAATACTGTATGTTCATCTAATAAACAGTCAGTAACTTATTAAATTGGCATGCAGGTTACAAGCCACTAGTTAATAGTGAGAATAGGGGTACTTAAACGAAATTTTTACGATTTATTTGTATTTTACAAGCAAACAAACAACTAAGCAAGCAAGCAAGCAAACAAACAAACAAACCAAACCAACAAACAAACAGGCATACTCTTATTTCACACGGCCGCCATTTTATAGAACCAAAGCAAGGCTGCAGTGGGAAGAAACCCGGAAGTGTAGGACCAGCACTGTAAACATTGCAGCAACATGCTGTGGACTACAAACCTCCAGCTGTTGCAAAGATTTTAAAATGCAGAAATGCTGTAAACATCACTTTGATATTGTTCAGTAAGTTTATTTAAAAAAATGTAAAACATATTAGGCATCAAACAACATCACTATCTCTGTAAGAGTAATATGCTCAAGTGTCCTCCTAGGCTTCAGTTCATGGCACCAGTTAAACACTGTGGGGACGCTTTCCTGCTTGTAACCCGGTGAGTGATAAAACACTGCAGTGTTTTCAGCATGTTGTCCCGGTACTGAAGTTTTAAAACCGGTTAACATTGAAGTGCCGCTGAGCACGGATGACTCGACTGATCTTAGCGGCTGCTTTGCACTCCAGTCTCCATGTATTGGTGTTTTCACTTAGTTTACTGCTCTTGACTGGAGCGCGAAGCAGCCGTGAAGATCAGTCAAGTCATCAAGAAGATTTCTCAGTTTGTCTGTGTTTGTGCTCAGTAAACAGCAGTGGGTGAACTAATGACCTTCTCAGCCAATCACTAGCATTTCTGTTGAGCATGTGAACACAATAGCCGCATTTCCACTATCGGGCCAGTGCGACCCAGGGCTTTTATCAGGCCAGGCCGAGCCAATCGCCCGGGAGGTGGAGCAGTGAGGCCGAAATCATGTCGTGTTTCCACTGTCGGGCTAGTAGCTCGCAACGTGTCACGCAAACCCCACCCCCAGAACATCCCCCGAATCGAACGTCACTCAATCCGCCTACTTCAGAGGGAATCAGGCAGATAAAGCACACCATATCATCACAAAACTATTAAATTAGGACAACCAAAACAAACAAATGACACGTTACTGTACAGCAGTACAATGTATGTCTATACGCACATACCTGTGTGTTCTCATTCATCATATTCTTTTACTCGCCGACCGACTCTTGGCATTAAAATCCAGTGGTCTTGCAACTAACGGAGGGACCCAGCGCGGGGAGTGCACACATCCATAATATAAAACCACATCTATAAAATTCTTTGTTAATAACTCGATATAAAATGTATCTTATAACATCCTCAGTTAGACAGACGCTGTCCAACATTCATCCAAATGCTCCGGAGAGAACTGAAACATAAACTTTTCCCTATAGGCTTTATGACACTTAATAGGTGATTCCCTTTATTTAAAGATGTTGCTTATTATATCTTAAGTAAAGGAAAGTGTTTAGTGTTTCAGCACATAAGAGCAGCACGTAATAAAATATAGCCTGTATTTCATTGCTCTCAGCAGCTATACACTAATAAAGCTCTTTATTTATTTAAAATTTCCTTTTTTACTTTTACTACGGCATATAAAAACATACACACTTGTTTGAGGACACAGAACACATTTTGAACTTGCAGTTTTCCCCGGTGCGTCAAAAAAGTGCTGCGCAGCTGGAAGACAAAAAAAGGTTGCCTAGTTTCTGCTTTCACTCACCCTGAAAATGCTCTGTTTGCATGATTTGATTAATATCATCGTATCCAAATACTTTATAAATAATATTTAAAACATTCTCCGGTTTTTATTGTTTTTAGAAAATATTTTAAATCTTTTTTTTTCAGAGAGGCTTTTGAAAAATGAAAGTTTAATATGGCTTTAAAACAGTTTTTAAAACAGCCTACAAAAGTGGACATGAAATTTATAAAGTTGAATGTCTTTCTGTTGTATTCATATAGTGTATTATCTCCGAAATAAATAAAAAGAAAAAAAAAAAAAAGAAAAAAGCTGCACGGCATCAACAGAGCTGTGTTTTTTCTCAAGCTTTTTCTCACTCACACACATACAGGCTTCTAAACGCGCACAAACACACCTTTTAAACTTGACTAAAACTCTCGAAAACTTTTACTGTCTGCTGTGTCTTTAATATGGTGTAAAGATTATTATGCGTTATTGAAACATCAAGGAGGATGCAGCAAAGAAAAGTCACTTAGAAATTAACTACTTTATTATTTTATGCAACAGCCTTACATTTAAAAGAGAAACATAAGGGCGATCATATGCAAAAAGACCCCAGCCAATCATTTGTTCCAGATGTTTTCTTTCCCTTATATTATTTGTTTTTGTGTTTGGTGCCCACTGTGTGTTTGGTGCCCACCTCTCCTTTCACTCCACCCCGAAGCCCGGGCTGGCCCTCTTTGGCCCAAGGTATTCGGCAGG